TGAGAAAACATCCCAGCCCAGTCCAGATCAAGTCCGTAAGTCCAATATTAGCCCATATGTCCGATACCAATATATAAAGTCCTCTTTAGACTCACGAAACACATGCAATTATGCTGAATGCAGGAAGATCACAGGCCAGTGGGTGGGAAGTCTTGTGGATCCAATGGCAGTGTAAGCATCTCAGCACTAGCAGGGGTTTCCATGTGGCTTCTCTGGCTCCAGAGGTCTGGCTCCATCAGCCTCTCTCCATGTGGCTTCTCCACAGGGATGTCTTGCAGGGAGTGAGCATGTGTCCTACCTCCATTGAGCTATTTATCTCCTTAGCTTCTCCAAATGAGGTCATCAAGCTACTACCTGATCAACAGGCTAGACTCTACCCCTTCACTCTGAATCCCCAAATTGACACCAGATTATGTAACTACCACATGGCCTAGCTGGGATGAGGCATTCTGGCTGTAAAAATAGCACTGGGCCTTGGCCTACCTCCTCAGACTTCACCAGTGGGGAGGAGCATCGTGATCAACATCAACAGTCCCGGGTGCATTCCTATGAAGTGAAGGCGGACACACTCCCCTCCTGACACCTGCTGCACCTCCCATGGCCCGCCCTACTTACCTGCTTGGCTTGACAGTCTGTCGCTGTGGTCACACAAAACTCACAGATCACACCACAGTTAGGGAGTGGATTAGGGAAGTGCAACAGGTTACAACTCAGAATCGGGAAAGACCTGGAATACAGTTATGCAATCAGGACAGCTTCTTCTCAGCCATGCCTGTAGTCATGTCTGTTTTGGCACCTTGACCCGGCCTCTTCCCTGTTTAGGCAAGTGCTACAAAGCGGTTAGCTGCATCAATTAGTGCTTGGGGAAAAGGGTAGGGGTGGGGGGAAATTCTCCAGTAAACCTTGGCTGGAAAGTGCTCAGCTCTCTAGTTCTGTGAGTTGGCAAGCCTAGCTCTGCTAAGCTGGAGGCAACCCACTTTGCCAGCAACCCTCCTTCCGGAAGGTGCTCAGCTCTCTCTCTCTCTGTACGATGGGGTACACTCACGAGAGCTGCCTTGCTCTCTGGAATCTCTGTCCACCAGCTCCTGGGGCTCCTGGTTCTGCTGCTGCTGTTTCTGTGCTGTGGCTTCTCAAAGGTTCACCATTGCTGTCTCTAGTGTTACAGCTGTTTCCTGGGCGTAGAAGCTTCTCAGCACAGGGACCCCAGCTCTAAAGGATGTACACCACTCCTGCTCGTTTTTAACAATGGTAGTGAGGGCCCTCTCTGCTCTGGGATTGGCTCTCTTTTAAGCCTAACAGGATGGCCCAATGGACAAGTCCTCTTGTTAGGGCTCCGTACACGTTGTCTGCCTGGTTCACTCCTACAGGGGTGGGTGCCATGCCCTCTGTCTACATGGTCCCGCCTAGCCATTTGGTAGGAGTTATAAGACCATGTGTGGCCAGAAAGGCCAGAGTAAGTAATTCATTGTGCCACACTGGCCTGTTGCCAACTGAGGGGCGATATTAGAAGACATAGGATGAACAATGTGGCCACGCATGTGTATGATCCAGTCTAAGCCTGGGAGGAATTCACAGTCCCTGGCACAGGGAAGGTGCCTCCTGGAGGCCTGTGGGTGAATGGAATGAAGGTTGGAGTTCAAGTTGGACCTCGTTCTGCCTTCAGCCTCATTGTTTTTGTTTGTTTCCCCGTGGACCTTGGTTAACGAGCTCAGATCCTGTGCTTCCTGGCAGGGCTGTGGTTCCCCAGCTGTTCTTTCTGGACCCCATGGTGCGAGGTGGTCGCTTGAACCTGTGGCTCAGTTGGGATTTGTGCAGTGCAGTCGTTTGCGGCTGCTTGGTTAATAACCAGCGGTGTCAATTAAGAAGGCATGGCAGGGATGTCTGTTGCGTCTGGGCAACGTAACAAGGTGGTTCAGCTGCCCTTACGAGGAACTCTGACGCTCTGACCTGTGTGCCTAGGACCTGACCCTGAAGCATGGCTGGAGGACGGGCGCCATCATTCCAGAGCTAAGATCCGAGCTCAAGATCATGAACACGGAGCAGTTTGTCCAGACCATGACCTGGCTGCAGACCCTGACGGGCCTCTTGGAGCAGATGCAGGTTAGGAGGGCTTCTCCCGCGCTTTGTCTTCTAAGCCTGAAGTCAGTCCAGTGGTCAAAAGTGAGTTCAGGTTGAGAGGAGCCCTGGTGGCGTGAAGATGACACCTTGGACCGCTAACTGCAAGGTCAGCAGTTCAACACCACCAGCGGATCTTCAGGAGAAAGATGGGACTCTCTACACCTGTAAAGAGTTGGAGTCTCAGAGACTCACAGGGGCAGTTTTGCTCTGTTTTACGGGGTTGTTATGAGTCAGCATCGACTTCATGGCAGTGAGTGAGTGTTTGGTTGTGACTTTAAAGTCCAGGGCTTACGTCATTCCAGGAATGTCCTTTGTGGTGTGGTCTGTGATTCCCTTTTCTGTGGCCCCTAACGCGGGCCTCCTTGCCTGCTCCCTCCACTCCTTGGCATCAGCTATCTTAGTCTGAGTGCTGTCTGGGTGTAAGTAGCCCGGAGCCCATTCTCTGGACCAAGGTATCAACCCTGCTCATTCTGGGTTGAAGCTGAGTCAGGATCTACTTTCAGCAGGTCTGTGATAATGTGGGATCCTTATGTATTTGAGTCCTGGTGGTGTGGAGTGCTCATGCATTGGGCTGCTAACGGCAAGGTCAGTAGCTCGAACCCCCTCGCTGCTCTGAGGGAGACAGACGAGGCTTTTCACTCCTGTAAAGATTCACACTCTGGGAAACCCACGGGGGCAGTTCTTTGCTATCCTATAGGGTCGCTGTGAGTCAGATGGCTTGGTGTTAGGTGCCATCAAGGAGGTTCCCACCCACAGCGGCCCTGTGCACAGCAGAAGGAAACCCTGCCCTGTCCTGTGCCTGCCTTCCTCACAGTTGTTCCTATACTTCAGCCCCTGGTGGCAGCCACTGTGCCCATCCATCTCCTGGAGGGTCTTCCTCTTTGGGCTGCCCCTCTGGCTCTCTGTACAGAGAACCACTGGGGGCTCTCGTGAACATGGAGATTTGCTGCAGTGTGTCTGGGGGGCAAGGCCAGTCATCAGTAGAGGTTTGACCCTGAATGGACCTGTTGGAGACCCTGCTCTTAGCCAAGCCCCTGGAGCCTTGTTCTCCTCAGCTCGGTGCCCAGGGTCCGCTGGCCTGCTTTGGCAAGGGGCAGGGAGCCCTCGCCTGTCCTGTCCCAGCTGACTGCCTGGTGGCACTGACTGGGTGACGGGGTCGGGAGCTGAGGCTGAGCCACAGGGGGTGTGGAGCCCCACCCCCCACTACACTTGGACCAGCTGGCCTCCTCTTGCTGTGCCCTCTGTGAGATGGTGATTGGAAATGACAAAGCCTGTTTGCAGCTAATGCATTTTAAAGTCTGCGCTGCACAGGGACTGCACGATGAGGGTGACGATGAGGGTGACTTGTTGTCAACCCTGACACGTGGTGGCCTGTGTCTGGGGGCCCCATCTTCACGAGGCCTGGTAGGTCTGTGTGTATGGAGTGTGGAGAGGAGACTGGGCCGCGGAGCTGGTCCCCCCTCCGAGCCCTTCCCTGGCTGTACATTCTGGGCCCTCTTTTTCTTTGAACCGGTGGCTAGATTTTTGTATAAAACCAAAACTGAACTCTCTGTCGTCGTGCCGATCTGACTCATAGCTGTTTTCATTTGTATACTTACGTATAAGCAAGAGCGGTAAAGGTTCCCAGAAAATGGAATGAAAGGTAATGAAACTTCCATAAACTCATTGAAACCCCTATGTATGTATATAACCCCTTTGTATATATTAGACCCCTATGTATATATGAGCACGCGCGCGTGCGCTCTCTCTCTCTCTCTCTCTCTCTCACCTGCTAGTGTAGTGGACTACACCTTGGGATGCTAACCACAAGTTCAGCTGTTAAAAATCATTAGTGGCGGGCGAGGTGGGAGAGAGTTGAGGCTTTGTATTCCCGCAAAGATTTACTCTGTCCTATACGGTCAGTGGCAGAGAGTGAGACACACATACACACATACACACTCACTCACATGAAGATATGAAGGAATCTAATCATTCCTTGTTTTGTCTTACAAATTTTTCTTGTCCATTCGCGTCACATCTCCCAGTTGTGAGTAATTTGTTGATTGAAATGTGAAAGCTGTGAACAGTATGCTCAGAGAACCTCCGGGCAAGCCCCCAGCGGGGTCCCCTCAGCAGTGTTCCGTCTGGCGGCCGCTGCCCCCTGATGCCGTCAGCCGGCCGTGGCCACTGGCAGGAGTCGAGATTGCAGGCTCAGGTGAGCGCCTGGCTGACTGAGCAACAGAGACCGCCGCAGCTGACGGCCAGTGGGCCAGCTGCTCAGCTGCACAGAGGTGGCCCCTACGAAGGCCTTGGCCCGGGTCAGGTGCAGAGGGCTCATCTGTGTGGGGCCCCTCCGGGCAGCCTCTCCTGCCCCTGGAGCATGTGCGCTAGAGTCCTGCTGTCCTGCTGCCAATTGGCCACTGGGGCTCTGGAGAGAGCTGGGGGAGGTCCACGGGCCTCTGTGGGTCGCCTTGCGGGCTGTTGCTTTCTGCCCCACGGTGGCCAGGTAGAAGAGTCAATCCTCTGTTCTCCTTTAAGTCTGAGGTGCTCCACCCTTTTATGCCTCTTGTCAGAATGGCGACTTTTCTTTTAACCCCTCAATTTTCAAAGCGAATATAATTACATTAAAAAGAGAGAGAGAGAGGAAAAAAAAAGAAAACCATGGATAATTCTACTATCCACCACAAATTAAAAACTGAAAATTTTTTCTTGTTAATTTCCCCAAAAAAGTTCACTATTTTCATAGCCTTGCAATTCATGGATATACTTCTTATTCTTGCTAGTTCCCCTGAACTGGCATTCCTCTGTTTACATATGTGTATGGTATATGTGATAAAATAAAAATGAAAGCCACTGTCGTCGAGTACATTCCAACTCATAGGACAGAGGAGAACTGCTCCCTCGCGTGTCGAAGGCTGTCAGTCTTTCCAGGAACACAGTCCCGTCATCTTTCTCTTGAGGAGCAACTGGTGGGTTTGAACCACTGCCCTATGGTGAGCAGCCCCAGGGCCTCACTCACAGCACCGCCATGACTTCTGGATCAATGTAATAGGTAGTGTATATTAAGTGCATGTTTATACAGAGTGCGTGTTTATGCACAAGTGACGCATGTCTGTTTCATATGATCCATATATATATACTATATGTATGTATTTTATGTATTTACTGTTGAGCTTGTTAGTTGCTGCAAAGCCATTTGTGAAGAATAGTGACATGTGGGCTGAGTAGAACTGCTTCATCGCATTTTTACAGCGTAGCACCAGGGCTTTCTTTAGCGGTGCCACTGGGTGGATTAGAACCGCCGACTTCTCTCCTTGTAGTTGACCGTTTGTGCCCCCTAGGGATGCCTGATTCCTTTAGGCACACACTGTTTATCCACAGCCCTCGCATCAGACTTTAATAGCCTCACGATATTCCATCGTCACCTGTGTGGCGTCTGCGTTTCTGGTCTTCCCCATTGAAGAGTCTTTTCCGTGAGGAAGGTAAGATTTCAACGGAGGAGTCTAGAAATGTTTTACTTCCCACCAGCGCTCATGCCTTACACGTTCAACAATAAAGCCCTCTAAGAAAAAGGGTGCCCGCTCAAACACCCTCCTCACCTCCTCACCTAGGGAGCGATTTGGAGCCCAGGTTGTCCTAACTGTGAGCGTGTGTGTCCTGCAGGTTCACCGGGATGAGGAGTCCCAGCTGGTACTGCAGGAGTGGAAACGAGAGAGGAAGGAGATAAGGTAAGAGCTGCCTGTTTGGGAGGCAGTTGACTCCGGGGCCTTCCCACTGCCCAGCCCATGCCTCGCCCAAGGCCCTGCCTGAGGATGGATTTCGAAACATCCCACGTTAGCTGCCAGGGAGCGCAGAGGGCTCTCAGGTATGTAGAGTCAGCCTTCTGTTCCCACCCTGGCCATTTGAAGCATGGGGGACTTCACTCTGCCTCTCCCACGAGGGCAGCCAGGGTGGGCTCTGATGATAATGACCGCATCAGGTGGCCATTGGGAGCCGGCTCGAGGTGGACCCTGCACCCTCAATGAAGGCTCCGGCTCCTGGTGACCAGGTGCTTAGTAGCTCATGACTTCTAGGACTCTCAGGCCTGAGCACACAGTCAGTGACTGGGAAATAAATCCCTCGGGCAGCAAGTGCTGGTGGGTGTGAGTGAGTCTCAGGGGACAGTTCCAAGGAGGCCATGCTGACAGTCAGGCTCTCTGCAGATGGATGCCCTGCGTGGCCATTTCTCCCGGTGTGCTTGGCCTTCCAGGCGCAGCCTGGGCTCTGAGCAGCGAGCAGCCCTCCTCTGGGTCAGGCTAACCACCAGGAGCCCATATCTTGTTGGTGTTGCTAAAGACAAGGCTGGCTTTCATTGCCTGCTTCTTCCTTCTTGGGGTTATCAGCTGTCTGACATGCCTTCTAACCTTGTTTCCCTTGGTGTAAAAGTGTTGACCGTGATGGGGAAGGGCTATAGTGTGTTTGACATTGGGGCCGTTGGCATTGGTTCCTATAGCCCAGGGACAGCTCACCTGTAAGAACCTCCGATGATTAGATAAAGGAACTGCTTCTCCCATCGGTCGGTTCTGGTCTTTGAACACCTTTGTATGTCAGTGAGGTTTGAGGCTAAAGTTTAGAAAACGTTGACACGGCAGTTTCAGGGCTGTTGCAACATCCACCTGTCCTAGAATGCCCAAGGAGGCATGCCAACAAAGTGACTTTATCACACAGTTGAGTTAATGATTGTTTTCCAGAATTTTGGGGTGCCACATTTGTTACTGATTTACCCAATGGTCGGACGATACTCACTTTGCTGCGCCTAGGGGGCAGCTCTGACGCACAGTCGAGCGTTTCTCCATCAAGTTTGAAGTGGCTGCATTTTAAGTGGGCTACCACGTTTTTCTGCTCCTGAGGTGCCGCTGGATCGACTCAAACCACCATCTTTTGGTTAGCAGCCAAATATGCCAACCATCATGCCACCCAAGGACTCCACATCTCCCCCACACTCCCAGAAGCAGCCCAGGTGTGGTTTGGAAAATGGTGTGTATGTTTCCGGAGGGCAAGCACACTCATGCCAGAGCCTGAGAACAACCTGCTCTGTGGGCAGAAGAGGGGCGCGGGGGCAGAGGTGGCTAGATGCGCCAACTTTTCTCGTTGGGGATGCTCTGAGCTACTTGTTCTTCCTTTTAATAACTTTATTTTTTGTTGTTGAGAACGTTGCTCACAGGGAAGGTCTGGGATGCCTACCACTGTTTCATCCAAAGACAGAGACCAGGTTGATTTGAGAAACTCTTAAGTGTGTTTCTGCAAGTGCTTGGCAGAAGGAAACAGTGGGGTTTGCTCCCTCCAAAATGGCCTCAGCGATTCAGAGCAAGTCAAGCGAGTTAGATGCCTTAAACTATGTGGCAAGTTCCAGAGACTGTTTCCCAGGTTTGTTACAATGAGTTGGAGGATGGGCCAGCCATGGGGTACAGGAGGCATGTCTCACAGAAACAGGGGCCATCCTTGGGCCGTCACTCCCTCCCATTCGGTCTCAGGCTCCAATGCTTATCCAAGTGGCCCTCTCTGCCCAGATGGGTCTTGTTTGCCCAAACACTGACTTAGAACAGCCTTATTGATTAAGTTTAAAGTGAATTTTTAGTGCAAGGGGGCCTGTTCACATTCTGGGTTTTAGCAAACTAAATTTTCACAGATAAGATCCCAAGCTATATGCATTTCCAGTTATGTGATTAAGGGCGGGTAGTTCTTTATCCCTCTTCTATCCAGAATACACACAGCAGAACACACCCCAGGTCAGCCATGTGCAGTCACGTGGACAGGTCATGTGTACACGTACTGCCGATGACAGTCTTTCCTTTGTCAGCCATCCTCACGGAGCACCGACTCACGGCTCCCGTCGTTCCCAGTCATTCCCATCTTGTTTTGGGAGTCGCTGTGAATGTGGTCCCATATAGTTAGGTCTTCTAAGAGCGGATATCTCAGGGCCATAGTGTCAGGGATTTGTCCAGCCTTCATGGTTCTTGGAAGTCTGGGAATTGGTCATTCTGTTGGGCATCCCTCCCCTTTGTTCAGGATTCTTACACACTCTTTGATCAAAGTGTTCAGTGGCAGTGGTTGCGCACCATCGGCTTCTTCTGGTCTCCTGGCAGAGGAGGGAGTTGTTCACGGAGGCAGTTAGCCACACAGTCCATTGCCTCCTCTTATTCCTGGCTCTGCTCCTTCCTGTCTTGCTCCAGGTGGATAGAGACTGGTTCTTGTACCTTGAATGACCCCTGTAAGCTTCTAAGACCCAGGTAGCAAACCCTCAGCTCTCTAGAAGATAAACAGAAGCACGGACCATGGTATCAGGCTAATTTACTGGAACGTTCATTGAAACCAGGACCCTGAATTTCCAAACCGAGTGGCCAGCCCTCATGGGGTGTTCGATTGTACTTCAGGAAGGACAGGTTGCCGTCCATTCGGACATCCCTGTAGAAGAACTAAAGGATGAATGAATGTATGAATGAACAGTTTGGGTCTCGACTGTGTTAAGAAACGACCTTTCTTTATCCTTTCCCGTTTTATCTCGTCTCACCACCTGTCCTTTGCTTATCCTCAGAGAAATGACCAAAGGTTTCTTCAATGCCCAGTTTGGGAGCTTGTTCCGGACAGACCAGAACCCGACCTACTTCCTGAGGCGCCTGTCACGCTTCGCGGACATCTACATGGCCTCGCTCAGCTGCCTCCTGAATTACGACGTCAGCCACACCTTCTACCCCCGGCGGACTCCGCTGCAGCATGAACTCCCCTCCTGGTCGGACCAGCCCTCCGCCTTCAGGGTGCCCCTCCTGCAGGAGGCCCAGGCCAAGTAACCGCGCCCCCACCCTTGAGAACAGCCCAGAGTGACGTTGGCCCCCGGTTGGGGTGGACGTGACCGAGGGGGTGACTTGGGGTGGGTGTGAGTGCTGACGAGAGCACGTAGGCCTTTCGTGGCGGATGCTGTACTTTCTGGAGAATACTCCCTGGGTTGCTGGGCAGGAGCCAGCTCCTCCGTCCGTGTGTCCCGCCCCTTCCTCTACACGCCCCGTGACAGTGGGGCCAGAGGGCAAGCTTCGTCTCAAAACTCTGGGTGGCTCACCCTTCTGGTTTATGAAGGTGCCACAACTTATGTCTGCTTCTCTGCGATGGGCGAGCCATCTGAGGCCTCTCCCACTCGGGCAGGGCGGTGGGCAAAGACAAGCTGCAGGCAGGAAGCGGAGGATGCTGGGATCCCTGCAGCAGCAGCAGCGTCCTGCTGCTCTTCATAAGGCTTCCAGTGGCTAAGCCCTCAGAAGTGGGCTGCCTTGCCCTCCTTGCTAGTCTCTCTTAGTCTGGAAGCTCTGCTGAAACCTTCCACCAGGAGTGACCCTGCTGGTGTTTGAAACGCTGGTGACGGAACTTTCAGCATCCCGGCCACACACAAGCCACCACATCCCGAGGACTAACAGCAGAGTCGTGGAGCAAACGTGGCCACGGCTGAGCACGGGCAGCGCTTTGTTCTCTCGTAGACAGGCTCGCTGGGAGTTGGGGCTGACCGGGGGCACCTAACGGCAGTACCATGCCGTTGTAGGAAGTCACAAAGAGGATCGCATCCCCAAATCATTAGCTTCCATGTCCACCCTGCCTCCTTGGGAGGACTTAGGAGAAGGAGCCAGAAACGTTACAACTCCTTTAGCCTCTTGTCCTGGCTGGTCTGCTTCCTGTGGCCTTCCCCAGCATGGGTGGGACCACTGTCCTGCCTGACCCCGGGGGCGGAGGGTGAGACCACTTTCTGGGTAGCAGGGCTGATTTTCCCCCAAGGGGAAGGAACCAGCAGGACCAGAGGAACCTAAATGTGGGGACGGTCTCCCAGGAGTGTGCTTATCCTGAAGTGGGGAGACCCAGCGTGAGTGCAATGTCCTAGGGAAGGGCCACGAGCCCCAGCCTCTGCAGACTGGCCTTGTGTTGAGATGGATGCCCTGCCAGTGCTCGGTTTCCTGGTGGAGCACAGAGAGGCAGACTCCTGAGGACGTGGCCAAGGAGTAGAGGTGCTGATATCAGAAGGGGGTGGGGGTGGGTGGTGGGTGGTGTGTGTCCGTGTCCTCTCTTAACCACCTCCAACCTCCCCCCACTTAGAGTTTTCCCCTGTAGGATTTGCATGGGGATCTTGGGGGTGGCGCGGGCGCGTGGTTTTGGGTGACTCTCTTCAGCGTTAGTGTGTTTAAGATGGGAGGCGATACAGGTCAAGAAATGGAGATGATCAGAGGTAACCTTGTCCGGTGACCTTTCTTCCCTCTAAGGGCAAGGTCATGGCAGCAGCTTGGGTCCTCAAGCTGGCCCTACGGCTGGGCGGGTGCCTGCAGGAGCTTGTGGGGAGCGCTCATTTGTTCCGCTGTTTCTGTGATTATTGAGGACCAGGCCTGGACAAAACAGCAGCCTGGCATTTCATTGGCGCCCTGCCTAACGTGGGCATGATGAAGTGACCTCGTACGTTGCACCCTTTGCACGGCCGATTGTTGTCACGGGTTGTACCAGTCTCGCTCACTGTGGTGAGGAAGGGGCCCTGCAGACCCTCTTTCGTCTTCCCTTCCTGGCTGCATTTTGTTGGGGTCCAATTAGGTGCAGCAGGGTGTTTTTTGTCCACAACACGTGCACCCGGTCTTTGTAGTTTCCTCGCCTGCCTGCTCCGTGTTGTGGGAGCATGGTTGGTGGTTGCAAGGTTGACGCCTGGAACTTTCTTGGTGTCAGGACCCTCAAAGGGTGCAATGGTGCTTCCGGCTTAGATAGAAGCAGAGTAGGGAAGTGGCTTTAGTTATTTATTTTAATTCTTGGCGTTTATCTAGTTAGCTCTCCCCCGATGTCGACTCCGTGTCAGTTACAGGGCGTGTATTGACTTAGGAGGAGAGTAGGACTATGAGGGGGGCCTCCCAAAGTTCGTGGAAGAGTTCCATGATCTTTGAATTCCATTTTTCCATGAGCTTTTTGAAGTTCTGTCCTATTGATGAACCCTGCCTTCGTGGATGACGAGGGTAGGTGACCCAAGCCTTGGGGGAGGAATACACATGGGGTTGGGCTTGAGAGGGAGAGGAAGAACAGTGTACGTTTCACCACTCCGCTGGTGGAAAGCATTGCCATCAAATCACTGCCCTGGGTTTCTGTGGTTCTTTATAAGAGTTGAAAGCCCTGACTTTCTCCCACCGGGTGGGGGAGTGTCTGGTGGTTTCGAACTTCAGACCTTGTGCATTGCAGCCATACTCTACACCACTGTGCTATGGGCAAAAGACAGGGCTTTCTACTCCTGTAAAGAGGTGCAGTTTTGGAAGCTCATGTGGCAGTTCTGCCCTGCCCTGTAGCTGGCATTGACTCTATGGCTGTCTGTCTGTCTGTCTGTCTCTCTCTCTGTCCCATAGAGGAGCATGCTGTCCCCGGCCGTGGAGCCTGTCAGTCCGGGCTCTGCCATGCCGTGGCCTTGTCAGCAGTGCCCCCTCACCCCCCCGCCCCCCAGCATGAGTCAGGAGAGCCTCTGGGCTGATGGGGACAGGGCTTCTTGCTTCCTTGTTTATCTCGAGCTTTGGTGGCCTCGTGGGCTACTCATCGGGTACTTCCAAACAGCAGCCGTCCTGAGGGAGAACGATGAGGCCTTGTGCTCCTCAAAGCGCCAGTCCCAGAAACCCAAGGAGCCGTTCTCCCCTGCCGTGTTGGGTCACTCTGAGTCACAGTCCACGCCATGGCAGTGAGAGCGAGAGGCCTGACCTATAAGGAGCCCTGGTGGCACTGTCGGAATAGGCATTGACTGCCGATCACAAGCCCGCGGTTCAAACCCATGGCTGCTCCTTGGGCGAATGACAGGGCCATCTGTTCTGTGGAGGTTCACAGCACTGGAAACCCTCTTGGTGTTCGCTGTGAGTCGGCCTCAGAGTCGGCAGTGAGTAGTATATTGAGCATGATCCAGACACGTCTGGACGTGTGGCTGTCGTAACTCCCATGGGGTCTCGCTCCCCTGCCTGCTGTCCGTGTGCACACTGATGATAGTAGGTCGGAACCGGGCAAGTGCATCAGTTCCTTACCCTCTAACTACTCAGTCTGAGAAGTTCCTCAGAGAACAGAGGAACATTCGTTTACACATTGAAAAGGTCATTGGCTCTAGCATTGGCTGGACTGGTGTTCTAAGAATTACGTGGAACAAAACCAAAAACCCACATTAAACAACTGTCAGTCCAGTGGGCAGGCATCCGGGACAGCTCGCCCAGGCTCAGGCTAGCCAGGACAGGGGCCCCGGGAGGCCCAGCCGAGGTTTCCCAGAGTTGCTCGTGTGGGTGAAACGGATTTTCAGCACATCTTAGGTGTTAGTCTTACAGCTCCCTGTTCCCTCCTGACTTACCTACCCACCGTCCTTTTAAAAAATTATCTTTAGCTCCATTTTCGAATGTTCCATGAATGCCGAGTAATCAATCGCCGCTTACCAGCTTGAGCACCCTTCAGACTAAATTGCTAGCTACAGTGAATGTGTTGGCGCTGGAAAATTCCCGCAGAGGAGGCCTGAAAAGAAATCCTTCCTCTTAGCTAAATTAGCTTCAAATGCACTAAATGGCTGCTCTCTCCTCCCAAAGCCCCCTTTTCAGCTGCACTGCCAAGCCTTGCATTCCTTTCCGTTCGCGCCATGCTCGTCTGCTGCCAAGGAAGCACTTAGGCGCCTTTACCGAGAATGCGCTGAGAGGACACTTGACCAGAGGCAG